GTGATATACGGCGAATAGAATAGAGAACATTCAAGACTTTGCTAGTAATATACATCCATGTTATATTTACCATTCCAGGGCCTGTGGCCAAGTAGGTCCTACATTTCGCCCACCTGTTCGATTCAATTCGAATACGCCACTTGTCAGTATGATAGCTCATAGGCGTCTATGTCCCCAGCGGACTGCCCGGAACTACCCTGGCGTACGGCTCTGTATACCGGAAACGTACCCTGGTCACTATTTGATATGCGATTAGGCTTAGATGAGGGTTAGCGGTTAAGGATAGGGCTTAGATAGGCGTTAAGGTTAGCGTTAAGGGAGTAGGTAGGCGACTCCCTAGACTCGTTAGATGATTAGGCGAGGTACGTCCGGCCATATCAAATTAGGTGACCAGCGACGTTCGCGTATACCGACGTACCAGGGTACGTTCGAAAGTACCCTGGCAGGACAAGACCCTAGTGGCCTTAGCATAGCCGCCATAGGACGTCTATGTCCCCGTACCCTGGGTACGGTCCGGTATACTGGAACATACCCTGGTACTATCTAATATGCCGGACCGTACCTCGCCTACTCCACTAACGAGTCTAGTGAGTCGCCTACGCCTACTCCCTAACCCGTACCCGAACCCTAACCTTAATCCTAACCCTATCAAATAGTGACCAGGGTACGTTCCGGTATACCGGACCGTACCCAGGGTACGTTCCGGCATAGCTCTAGTACTATAGCCGGCTTACATTAACTGCCGCTGCCAGCGGCAGTTAATGTAAGCGGGCTATAGTACTAGAGCTAGTTCCGGCAGTACCCTGGGGGACATAGACCCTATGAGCCTTATAGTAGCACACACCAATGGCTACACCACATGCAGGCACTTGGGACATGCAGATCGGTCAGTAAAAAATAAAAACTGAAAATAATATGAAATACGCACATTCAGTGATTCACAAATACTACCCCTCAATTACACTTCCACTGTTGTGTCACTGTATATACCAACTTAATTGCTTTCACAAAAACTAGCCGCTCCCGCACTGTAAATGTGCGTTCATGAATATTATTTTCAGTTTTTACTGACTCTATCCCAAGTGCCTGGGATACTGGGCTACACCAGTAAAGCTATGTAAACTGGAATATATGTACAGTTCTATGCATGGCTATCATGCTATCAGTGCATAATCTCACTGTTGTGTATCCCCTCCTGGTCGCGGTTACGATTTAACGGCAAACTGGTAGCGCTGAAATACCGTGCGGTGCTACACGTAAAAATCCGGCTAGGTGTAAGCCCACGTGTATCCTGCGTGAGATTGTGTTGACCCAATCCTGCGTGAACAGTTTTAGCATGTGTACAGGCGAACTTCGCTCCATGTTTCATCATAGTGACAGGTAATTGTCCTCCGTAGAGACGAGTCAAATTTGCCTCGAGAGTAGGCCCTATTTACTTTCACAAACAGTTTCGATGCAACGCCACTGTGGTCGATGAACCTGCTTGCCTGTACCTAACAACAAATGTTTACTTACACATTGACACATGCCTGTCACCGCTCAAGACTGCCGGCGATGCTAGCGACACTAAGCGGCAAACAGATAAACCTACCGATAAAATAGGAACTTTACTCATCGCGCACATGGTTCATCGCGGAGCCGTGTCCGTTCATCCATCCATCCATCTATCTATCCTTCGATCAATCCATTAAGCCACCCATCCATCCATCTATTCATCTATCCATATATTCACCCATCCATGCATCGATCTATTCATCCATCCTTCCATCCATCCATGTATCCATACATAGCTATCGATTCATCCATCCATTCATTGATTTTTTTGACAGAATATTATTACTTCATGTCGGAGATTGTGCTACTATTACTAGGTATGCGCGACCAGTGGCGTACGCAGGTGGGGGGGGGTGTTTGGGGTGTTAAACACCCCCCTTTCCTCTGTCCTAAACAAACATTTAAAAAAAAGAGGAGAGGAGAAAAGGGAGAGGGAGAGAGCGAGAGAGTGTGTGTGTGTGTGAGAGAGAGGAGGGAGAGAAAGAGGGAAAAAGAGAGGGAGAGAGAACAGAAGGGCCCTATTATCCTGTTTATTAAGTTTAGTATTTGTAAACACCCCCTCCCGAGCTGTAAGAACAAGGTAGCCTATAACGCAGGGTAAGGAGTGTGTACAATGAAATGAGATAGAGAACCTCAAAATCGATTTGCTGCATGCTCGCGAATCGCGATGTCGTAACTATAAGTATCTTCGCTCTCATACTGTAATCCATATTGTGTAATCAGGAAATTGTGTAAATGTGTGCTCGTGGTGGCAACTCATGACAACTCATTATGATTTTAATGAAACAACAACAAGTAAAATATGATATAATACAGAAAAATGTGCAAGGAAATGCGGTATTTTTAGGCGTTATTTTCATTTTTCTTTCAAACTCGATGGGGGACACCCCCCCTCGAGCACCCCGCGTCCCCGCTTCGCATGCAGTCACTAACACGGGCGTAAATCTCGGGGGGATGGGGATGCATCCCCCCCTGCTCTTGAAGGAGGGGGGATGGCCTGTACAAATATCCCCCCTGAGATTCAAAAAAAAAAAGAAAAAAAAAAGAAGGAAGAAGAAGAGGTAAGAGGATCCCGATTT